TTAAAAAAAAAAAAAACTTGTATCTTTACAAAAATGTTACGGCTAGAATATAAATCTTAAGAAAAAAAGCCCATTACAAACATTTCAAAATATTGTTTTTTAAATATCCTCAAAATTTCAAATTTCTACGATCACTTTAGATTGAGTAATAAAGATTATACTTTTGATAGTTTTTAAGCCTAAAATTACCACGGTGTGGCGTCCTCTTAATTCGGTTTCTTTACAAAAGTGTTTTTACTTATGTGTTGTTGAATACCTTAAACTATATATATATATATATAAGGCGTTATACTAGGCCTCACCTATGCATATTCAAAGAGTTTTGTGTAATAATAATGGATTATTAATGAATCGTCAAAGTAATAAAAATGGCAATTATAGATGTACAATTAAAAATAATAATAATTCATAATTCCATATACTCTTAAACTTTTAAATTTTAAGCTATATTAAATAAAACAATAAATATATTATGTTAGATGAAGATGATGGTGCTAATTCTTCAAATGGTAAGCAATAATTAATAACATTAAGTTAATATTACTACACAACATATATGATTATCATTTAGTAATACAATAACTCGTAATAAAATATTTATACAATAATTAATTTAAATATTATATTTAATCACGTTTGTAACTTATTGGACAATTTTATTTTTACTTTTATAATTGAATACACTCACAAAGTGTTAATAACTCTCAATGATATTCCGAAATTCAATCATTGATTTTAATGGTAATTTAAGGAAATTATACACGTAATTGGTATCAACAAATTACTTTCAGCTCTAAAAAATATTTATACTGAGCCAAAACCAATGAAACGTATTTTTTCCCTTTCTAGATACTCACTCATATTTTACTATAGTTCGGTACATTTACACATTGTATAATTTTAAAGAATGAGAATTATCCGTACCATTCGGTTATCCGAATAGTCTAGATTTTGAAACCTGGTAACAACAGTATAATCTGATAATCTGGATGTATAAAAAGTTTTTTAATAAATAAATATTAAGTATAAGAAAGGAAGGTGAGGTATAATAGTGTATGTGAGTCTCAGAGTTTAATGGGTATAGTAGAGTCTAGACTTAATAATTTATAGGACTCAATAATGTTATCCATTACCTTTATTTTATTCATATTTATTACGTGAAGTTTTAAAGAATAAATCATTCAAATAAATATTAGCACATTTATATGTTTCCTTTTATAGTTATTTAAGTTGATAATTCTCGGCGGAGAAAGTAAAGTATTTGTGTTTGGCTACTTGTGATAGATACTTAATGTGGGTAGTGATGAGTTGTAAGGGCTGGTTAAAATATTTATTAATAAATGGCCATTTTGAATACCTTAAATGTTTCCTTAGATGATTTTTTCTTCACACACACATATATATATATATGTGTGTGTGTGTGTGTGATATTGAGTACATATGTTAATAATTATAGCATGTACTCCGTAGCGATATATACGTGTTCTATTGTTCTCTGTTATTTTCTTTTT